GCAAGGCATGACAACAGGTTCACTCGCGTTGGGTAATTGTGGCTTCGGATAGCCGGACGATCGACCTTGTGGTAGGCGGATGTACCCCTGCTTGGTCAATGATTGAACTGCTTCACGCCGCTCGGGCTTATTCAATCCAATTTACGTGTGAGACTCCTTGGATGATGACTACCTTAGGCTTCGATGCATCCCTGATGTTCTCCTGTTGGTCTGTCTCCAGTCTTCATCTCAGACGCTCGCCGCTGGTCGGAGATCTAGAACCCGTGGCTGAGGCCATCTTCACACTATCTATGGGCCACCTCGCCTTGACCATGTGTTTAGGAACAGTGTGGTCGTCGATGTGATCACTTCAAGAATGCTGGCTAGGGCATAATCCGGGCGAGTACCAAAAGAAATGTGATGCACACAAAAGGCAAAACACTAGAAATCAGGTCCAACCAGGAATCGAACCTGGGCTGGCGGAATCAGAATCCGCAGTCATAACCATTAGACCATTAGACCCGGACTGTTTTCATTTGATGAAAACCTGGGTTGTCGTAGCGTATCATGTAGCTTACTCCTCAGCCAGCCAGCTGCAGCCACTTGCAAGGATGCAATTGTATCGTCAGTGCCCGACTCAATGTCACCTATCCACGATCCAGTTGCATCGCTCTTCAGTAGCGCCCGATAATCGCGATCAAAGTTAATCGAGCTGCATCAACTAGCAACGAATCTTAGACAACGCCGCGCGTCGTGTCGCCCCGCCATTCCAATTGCTTCTCTCAACCCAAACACAGGCCGCCTTGCAGCCGAGATATGCAAGCACACCTTGCAAAACAGCGGGAACCTGCACAACACCACACATCATGAGACCCTGCCAAGCACGGCCCTGGTGTCTCTGGACAATCTGATCACGCTGTCGTGAACGACCCAACCTTGACCGAACCCCCGAGTGCCTTGGTTGCGTAGTTGAAGATTCCGAACCGGTACCCCAGGAAGAATGCCCAGCCGTTCGTCATCTGATACGTTCCGCCCAGCGTCGTGAACGCCTTGCCGTCGAAGCTGTACAAGAAGTTCGCCGCTCTCGTGCCCGCGGGCCTCGCGTCGAGCTCTGCCCGCAGCCATACCTTGCGCGCCCCAGTAGGCACCGGTGCCGTCGCCTCGACGCGTCCCGTCGAAATCGTCGTCCCGTTCCACTCGTCGATGATCATGCCGTGCACAGCAGTCAGCGTGTACGCGTCGCCGGCGCGGTCCACGCCGATGGAGGCGCTCTGGTCGCGGAACGCCGCGAGGCCGGCGCGGTCACCGTCGGCGAGAGACGAAAAGTCGAGCTCGAGCGTGCCAACGGGGAACTCGCCGTGGATGCGGTGCGTTAGCGTGTTCTTCGCCGCGTAGAGGTCGGTCGTGACGCTGGCGGTGCTGAGCGTCAGGCCGTTGTTCACCTTGAACTTCTCGTTGTCGGGGTTGTGGTTCCACTCCCAGGTCGGGCCAAGCGACGAGCCGGCGAACGTCTCGGTGAAGGTCCAATTGAAGAGAGGCTCAGCAGGCAAGGGCAGGGGGTATTCGGCTCCCCAGCCGCCGTTGGCGCCCTTGACGAAGACGGGGAAACCGTCGGCGCCCCAGGTGATGGGCGCAAGAACGGGAAGACGACCTGAAGGGTAGGCCCAGGTGAACGACATGAAGTACCAATCGCCCTTTGCCGTCTCGATGAGGCTGCCCTGGTGCGGCGAGTTGCCGCCGTTGAGGGGCGGCGTCACGCTGTCGACGAGTATCTTGGCCTCGTAGGGGCCCCATGGGCTTTCGGATTTCCAAATGTACGTCGTCGACCCGGGCCGATCATTGAGGATGTAGTAAGTACCGTTGATCTTGTACATGCGGTTGCCCTCGATCGAATCAGCACCCACGTCGGCGGCTTTGAAGACTTCCTGCGAGCGAGCTTCGGAAAGGCCATCTGCAGAGAGTTGGGCGACGCGTACATTGCCAGAGCCGTAAACGACGTACATCGCGTCGTCATCGTCAATAAGCAAGCCGAGGTCGTAATAGCATACGCCGTCGCCCAGACGTGCACTTGTGCTCCAGGGACCTTCGGGCGAGGGCGCTGTGAAAATCCACGTGTGCCAAAAGTTGACACAGCCAATCCAGTACCAGAGGCCATTGCTTTTGCGGTAGCGCAGTGTCGAGGCCCAGGTGCCGCCACGGTAGGCTCGGCCGTTGTTGAGATTGTAGCCGTCGCCAAAGTTGAGGCGTGGGATCGAGTGGCCCACGGGTTCCCAATTGACAAGGTCCTCGGAACGGAGGATAGGTGATCCGGGGCTGAAATGGAAGTTGGACGCTGAGAAGTAGAATTTGCCGTCAGGGCCCGTGAAAATGTCGTTGTCGGGGTAGTCCTCGTAGAGCACTGGGTTGGTGAAGGAGTCTGAGGTTTCGTTTTGTCCACAACGCGCGACGTGAGCGGAACCCACAACAGCAGTCGCCGCAGAGAGCAACCCCAGCAAGAGGAGAAGCTTGACGGAAACCATCACAATGATTTCGGAGTTCCTGAATGCCTACCTCTGTCGGTCATTGCCTTCCAGAGGCGATGTCGACCTCTTTTAAGCAACTTCAAAATGTCGGGAGACAAAGCATTTCGCGGCGGCGGACAAATTGCCAGCATCGGACTAATTGCACTGGCTCCGTGGCAGATCATCGTATGGTATGCGTTAGCGGGCAGGAGACGTCTGCTCCATGGAGAAACACCCGCATGGATCACGGTACGTGATCATCCGTGATGCGGAGACTGTCGTATTCATCACCCTGGACTCCAGATGCGCACCAACCGAGACCACCTCATCCCGGAGACTACTTTTGCAAAAACGAGCTTAAAGAATAGAGCTCCGATAGTGACTTGATTGAGACTTTTTGACGTTTAAGAGGCTTCTTAACTCCGGGAAGGAACAGCCAACAGCCACTTAGTCGCCGGCATGTCGGCCGATTAAATTAACATTCGCAATCTCAAAATGGGCACCAGCTCGCCGAAGACGCAGAATGACCTGTGTACAAGCCTTGATGTGGCCCACGTCGATCGATGTGGGTTATTATGACTTGTTCAATTGAGGTTTACAGGGGGAGGTGTGGCGTGCAAGCCTTCATAAAACGCTTATATCCACGAAGGCAGGCTCCCGTTGTCGTTGCAAAGTAGAACTCACGTTGACATCACGAAGAATCCAGACTTTCAGCCGACTCAAGCGGCAAGGTAGCATTCTGAGCTACCTAGAAAAACAAAATAACGCCGTGTTTCCCCTCCCTGTTCGTGATTGATCTATTCGTCGACGTAGTAGACCTGTGCAATGGGGTTAGTCATTGCAACATTGGTAGCGGGTCCGAATGAACTTACAAGACCAAAGTCCTCATCGAGGCGCATTCATCGAACTTCGTAACCGAAGTCACATGTGATGGGTTTTCCGTGAAGCTCAAGCTGCATATCGGCAGTAACAACACTGGGAGGAATCCAATGAAGGTTTTCTACTGAGTTTCCTCCTCGCCGGGAGCTGGAGCAGAATCCTCCTCGTTGGAAGTCGGAGCAACTTCCTTGGGAGCGCAAAAGGCGACCTTACGGAGTGTCATGAGCATTTTGCCCGAACGACGAAGGTGGTAGATCGCATGGTCAATGTCCTGGCTGGCATCGAGATTACACTCCCGCAGACGCCGCTCGATCCAGGGAGCGAAGAAAGCGCGGTTGGCCTCAAGACAGTCGGCCAGCTCGTTGCAGCGCTCGAGTTCGCTGTGCTCAAAGTGCATCGTGGCGTAGTGCTGAACGATGCGGCGGGGGTTGGAGAGGGGAGCGCGGCACTTGTCCCGAGGGTGTCGCTGGTTCTTCGGCAGCGAGGTGAACTTGCGGGAGCTGCAAAGTCGGCACTTCCAGTGAGCCTTTGTGGACATGGTCTGCCGGAGGGAGGGGGCGGGAGGAACGGGAGCTGTGGGAGGGGCGGGAGCTGTAGGAGGCATGGACCAGGCACTGGGACAGACTGCCCTAGAACCGGGAGGGCTGGGTGGAGGACCGCAAAAACCGAGATAACCAGGAGGACCGGAAGGACCGAGAGGACCGAGAGGACCGGGAGGACCGTGAGGACCGAGATAACCAGGAGGACCGGGAGGAACAGGAGGAACAGGAGGGCTGGGAGGAACAGGAGGGCCGGGAGAAACAGGAGGAGGGGGGTAGTAGTAGTTCTGATTGTCGTTGTGATTGTTGTTGTGATTGTTGGGCCTTTGATCGTGATGGTTTTCATCTTCGCTGCCCCAAGGCAGGAAGTAGTTGTTATGATTGTTGTTGTAAGGATCCATTGTGTCCTGATCTCTATTTAGCACGTGCTGCCTGTTCTCGTCTGATGGGAAATAGCTTTCAAGACTTTGCAAAATCTCAAACAAAGTATGAAATTTTCATCGCAATTCAAACTCAATAGCCAGAGGAAATACGCAATGGTATGGTGGGAACGAGGACCGGACGGCCCTGTCAGAAGACGGCGGAACACACCGGAAAGTGACGGACGCGGGAGTCACCAGATGATGAAGGAACGGGTGAAAAGAGATAACTTACGATCAAATTGAATTCAAGTTTCGATGAATGGTTCTGAGTTCGAATCGATGGGTTGTTCGTGAAATTCCAGGTTGTGTTGTGAAGCTATCGAGGATGAGGTGTGGTTGGGGCTCATTCAGTAAATTATTTTCGACCTCAAACACTCGAAAGAAATCCAATAAATATTCCAGGCGCAGTTCAGTGAATTGCGTGTCCCAATGAAGCTATGTACGCTCACCAGTAGCTTGTAGTCTAGATTTATTGGCTGGCGGGCTCTCGTATAGATTTGCGGGCACAGTATCATCGTGGGTGCGAACTTGAATAGGGTACACGCGGAGGCATCATGTTCAACTCATTGAGGAGGCAAGGCAGTTCAGTCGGCCGTGCAGAACCAAAAGAAGGTCGGTGCAAGGTGGTTTCAAGTTCTGGTATCATAGTGTCGGACCGTCTATCCAGTACAAAGCTTGATACAAGAGCGCCACCAGTGTCTAGGTAGTTCATCTATATCGTTGATTGAGCTGTTTTGCCTGATCATACTTGCTGTCTTTCAGTAAGGCAACGTGGAAGGAGGCAGCAGCAGTGATAGTAGATGTCTTCAACATCAGGTTTGCAGCATCTTAGGTCCAGTGTAAAAAGGGTTCCCAGCAGAGGTCCTGCCCATGGATTTGATTGTATACTCATCATGCTGTGGTTTGATGCCTCCCCAGCTTTGAATGGTAGCACTTTGTTGAACTTTGAATATGACAATGGTTTGTCTGGTGTTCATCAAAGATCTCTGTAAATACGATGACAAGGAAGAGTCTTTCAGCGTCCTGTATGTGCTGCGTAGGCAGACATGCGGGCAAAGAGAGACAGCCGTATACTTATCCCATAAGTACGAGTTTGATTTTCCCATTTAGCAATTCTCAATCATCAGCAGCAGAAGATTAGTGTGCAAGTGCAGGGGCCTTGAATGTGTCACCTCAATGCAGAGTAGGTCATATCCTCAAGTTTACTGGGAGCCGGGTTCCGGAGTCCAGACATCGCATGGAGAGGAAGTGGCGCTGGAATGAGACATTTTGCTGCCAAAGACTTCACGGTTACCAACTCGAACACTTTCATTGCCCGATCCATGTCACGCTTGACCAGTGCGGAAATCCACGAGAGGGCAAGCTGGCGCTACAGACAAATCCGGCAAACACGTCGCCTGTTAACCTCTGCTGGATAGCACTGCCCTCCAATAGCACGTGGTTTGGTCGTTGTCGATTCAAGATCGTCGCTGTCAGGTTGTCTTTGTAGCATGGCGGCAACGGCTCAGGCCGAACTAATGAGCCAGTGATTCCGAGTGTCTCAGACCAAGGGGAGAGAGGGAAATGGTACAACCGCTGCCTTGGGACTGAGCTAATCTCAATATTAAAGTTTGGCGGCCCCACTTCGCAGCTGAACAGGGGAACAATGGTATAGACCCTGGCGCCGCCATGCCAACGGACAAACTAAGCGATCCGTGTGTCAGCTCTAAATGACAGCCAGCGGATTCTGCGCTTCCGGAGCGGTGTCATCTCAGCGAGGCTCACAAACAAGGGACCTCGAGAGGCTTCACTAAGGCCGCATCATATGGCAGCGGACAAGATGGTAACATTCGCTAAGCTTCTAATACCAGGTTTGCTGTGACTGGGCCCATCCTCCGCGGGAAAGCTGCCTGTTGCGGCGCGCGTCCAGTGCCCTCCACGGAAACGCTTGATCACTGATCCACATTTTCGGACGCCCGATTCAGTAAGGTACGTGTGGGTTGCTTCTTAGAGGGGAAAGTTGACAGCTGCCAGAACGAGACCTACTGCTAGTGTCTCGCCCAACCACTGGAACATTCTGAGACTAGCGCCGGCCGAAACTTCAACGTGCTCCGTGGATCCTTGGTCGGTGGCTTCCGGGCCAGAAGCTTCTGTGCTGCTAGTGCCGCTGATGCGATCACCCGCCGAACCCTTGCTGCTTGGACTGGAGGGAGTTTCGATATGCTCGGTTGAGTTGCTGTCAGGTCCAGACTCGGGCTGAGGAGGTATCGGAATCGCTGGTTTGACCCCGCCGCCACCATCGGAATGATCGCCAGGATGATCAGCAGAATGGTCCGAGCCAGGGCTTGGAGGCACGTTCGTCGAATCCGGCCCCTTCTTGTCTGTGGCATGTGGCACAGCCGTAGGGGTCGGTTCCAGAAGTGTCAGCGTGTATGTGACTGGCGAAGAACCACACGTGTCACAGACAGTCGCAGTCTTGACAAACCCGGGGGGACAGATGTCTTTTAAGCCAGGAAGTTGGCAGGGCGAGTAGCTTGTGCCATCGCAGTCGTATGTCACAGTGTACGTGTGGGGATGTAGACCACTGGGAGAGCCCGGCTCTGGACCAGGACCTAGAGTAGGGAGTACAGTGGTGTAGGTCACCGGGCAAGCAGACTTGCTATCGTCCTGAGCAGCCCATGTTTGCGTTGGACGGAGACTTGTCCAGGTGACGGGGGGGGCCAAAACCGCAGCTCCTGCACAGCGCTTGTCGATGGGGCGCTCAAGACTGAGGGCCGAGGAGAGAACAGGGAGAAGAAACAGCAGTGGCAGAAACATTGTGAAAAAAACGAGATCAAACGAATGTGGAAGTAATGTCGAATTTTGGGCTGGGTGAAGGGATTAGTCGATTGGGCCACTGTTGTGTCAATACTACCAGTTGGGAGGCCGCAAGCCGCCTCTAAATACGTCCAAGACTGGCGCGCAACCTAAAAGGTGATTGCAGATTTTGAAATTTCCCAGAAACTACCTTCCGCATTCTGGAGCAGTTGTACTGAAAGCAGACTACGTCCCGATGCATCTTGTTGATATCTCCAAGTTGACCCTTCATTCCCCTAGTTTGGCCGGCCATGAGACAGTTTCCTGTCAGCTCCGCCTGACTCGACAGGTGCTATTATCAAAACTCCAGCTCTTCAGCCACGAACTTACATCCTAATTGTCTCGGCAGCGGTAACTTGATACGAGGCGTCACACTATGCAATTCGAAAGTGTCAGCTTTGTGACTCAGTCTGCCGCCACTACATCTGACACGTCTGTCCCAAAGAAGGCCCGCCACGCTGGCTTATGGGGTTTTGGTTCACGACTTGGCAGTATTCGCCCTCATTAACTCATTCCGGACGTCAATTTGTAGACGAGCTTCACTGCATACCGGAAATGATATTTCAGCCCCGAAGGTATAGTTCGTTAACATTGCTGCAAGCATCGAATCAGGCCATCTGGACAAGTGAGGAGATGAACCTTAGTTGAGACAGTTATCTCTTTCATCACATGTGACGGGGAACAACCCTCGTCTCATAGCATGTCAGTCTTGACGTGATGAGACCAATTCCAACGCGGGTTCGTGTTTAGCAGAGCAGCGGTAGTGGCGTGAATCGCTCGAAGCTTGCGCGTCTTCACGAGCTTTATTCATGTCTGGCCAGGCTGTCTGCATGCCATTGCGTTCGTGTGCCTCCTCAGTCTTGGCACCTGGCCTCGGTGGCTTGATCAGCTTTCAGACACCGTGGTACGGGAGCACGTCTCGACTAGTGTCAAGCTATACGCAGCGAGGACACCCTCTGTGATCAAGGGTTGACCGGAAAGGGGCAAAGCCAAGCTTTCAATGAGCGAATGCGTCTGTTGTGCCCACCTTCAAGGGGTGGAGTCAAGGTAGACCAGAGATTCCATCCGAGGAACTCGAGGGAGGCTCTAAGAGACCATGAGTGATCCCATCCTTCGATCACAACCAACAGAGACTACACATATAAACCGCCCTATGCGCTTCACTGCTCTGAGAACTCAGTTTGGCAGCCATCAAGTCACTCGCTTCTTTCTTCTTCTCAAGTCAACCAGTTCCATCTGTTGCCGTTCGTTTGGGAAGGTAACTCGAAACCATGCTCAACTCACTCACGCTTACAGTGCTGAGTGGATTGGCACTGCTTCCACAACCAGGGGCAGCGCGTCCTGAGCCACAAACAGTTTGCCCTCACGCCGAGGTCACTCTGCAGCCTGTGGTCTGTGTCGAAAAAGTTCCAATTTACATCAGCACACTTGTGTGTTCGAACACAGTGTTGACCATCGCCGGGACTACCATAAACGTTTCCAATGCACCGACTCTTCTTATTTCCGAATTCTTGGCCACCACGACCGCACGTTCGACTTCAACCTTGTGAGTGAATCCCATCACGTATCCTCCGCCATTGTAAGTTATTAACTGTTTTGCTTGCTAGAAACCCTGATTCTGCTTTCACCGGACCCCTCACCACTGTGACTGGTGGGACATGGACGGGCACCACTGCAACGACCTTGACCGTCCCCCCCGCCGGCTCTGACACAACAGGAACAGTTGTGATTCTCGAGCCTACCAAACAGGGCCCTGGGTTTACCGGTCCCTTTACCACCGTCACAGGAGGCATATGGACTGGCACAGCTGCCACAACCGTGACTCTTGCCCCAAACCCTGGCGATCCCACTGGCACAGTGATTATCCTCGATCCTTCTTCTGATTCCGGCTTCGATGGACCATTCACTACTATAACTGGTGGTACATGGACTGGCACAGCACCTACTACGATTACAGTTGCGCCTGATGCAGGAGACCCTACTGGCACGGTCATTGTTCTGAACCCGACTGCAGACTCGGACTTCAGCGGACCATTCACCACGGTCACAGGTGGGAGTTGGACTGGCACAGCACCAACTACTATAACCAGACCGCCAGGTGCTGGGGATTCCACTGGCACCATTATTATTCTCAACCCAACTGTGACCGACGCAGTCACCTTTACTGGGCCGTTCACTACAGTCACCGGCGGGAGCTGGACTGGTACAGCCACCACAGCCTTTACACTGCCCCCTGGGCCAGGGGATTCTACGGGCACTGTAGTGATCCTTGATCCAGAAGTCACTGATGCTACTATCTTTACTGGTCCATTCACAACGGTGACTGGAGGTAGCTGGACTGGTACTGCTGCCACCACAGTCACCGTCCCTCCTGGCCCGGGAGATACTACGGGTACTGTGGTTGTTCTCAATCCCGAGGGTACCGCGACCACTTTCACTGGCCCGTTCACAACGGTGACTGGTGGTAGCTGGACTGGCACTGCTGCCACCACAGTCACCGTCCCTCCTGGCCCGGGAGATACTACGGGTACTGTGGTTGTTCTCAATCCCGAGGGTACTACGACCACTTTCACTGGCCCGTTCACAACGGTGACTGGTGGTAGCTGGACTGGCACTGTTGCCACCACAGTCACCGTTCCTCCTGGATCTGGCGATGCCACTGGAACCGTGATTGTCCTTGAGCCTGAGATCACAGGAGCGACCACTTTCACTGGCCCGTTTACAACGGTGACTGGTGGTAGCTGGACTGGCACCGCTGCCACAACAGTCACCGTTCCTCCTGGATCTGGCGATGCCACTGGAACCGTGATTGTCCTTGAGCCTGAGATCACAGGAGCAACAACTTTCACAGGTCCTTTTACAACGGTGACTGGTGGTAGCTGGACTGGCACTAGTGCAACGACTGTTACTCTGCCTCCTGGTCCTGGCGACGCTACTGGAACCGTGATTGTCCTCGAGCCTGAGATCACAGGAGCGACAACTTTCACAGGTCCTTTTACAACAGTGACTGGAGGTAGCTGGTCTGGCACTAGTGCAACGACTGTTACTCTGCCTCCTGGCCCTGGCGACGCCACTGGAACAGTCATTGTGCTGAACCCCACTGCAACAGAGGCTCCAGTCTTTACAGGACCTTTCACTACGATTGATGGCGGAAGCTGGACTGGAACTGTCCCTACGTCTATTACCCTGCCTCCAGGACCAGGTGACTCTACAGGAACGGTTATTATTCTTGACCCCCAACAGACAGACGCCGCCACTTTCACTGGGCCCTTCACAACTGTTGATGGCGGAAGCTGGACTGGGACCGTGCCTACCACTATCACCCTGGCTCCCGACGAAGGCGATCCCACTGGCACTGTCATTATCTTGAGTCCTACGCCGACGGGCCCAGCCACCTTCACTGGGCCCTTCACAACTGTCGATGGCGGAAGCTGGACTGGGACAGTACCAACTACAATCACGCTGGCCCCTGACGAAGGCGATCCTACTGGCACAGTTATTATCTTGAATCCTACGTCGGATATTACGACGACTTTCACTGGGCCATTCACAACTGTTGAGGGTGGTAGCTGGACAGGTTCGGTTCCTACATCAATTACCCTCCCACCGGGACCAGGCGACGCCACGGGCACTATCATTGTGCTTGACCCTTCCAATGCGGCTGAAACTACCTTTACCGGCCCCTTTACCACAGTCACGGGAGGTTCTTGGACAGGAACTGTCCCTACAGCGTTTACGAGGGATCCGGCTTCTGGTGACCTGACGGGTACTGTGGTCGTCTTTGTTCCTTCCGAGTCAACAACAACGTTTACCGGACCTTATACTACACTTAATGGAGGCTCGTGGACTGGCTCCGGTCCTTCAACCTTGACCCTTGCTCCTACCGGAACGGGCACTATTGGCACTCAGATTATTTTCACGCCTGTTGGACCGAGCGACGAGCCATCGTCCGCAAGCGAGACTAACGGTGCCTCAGCTGCCTCCGGCCAACAGTCCGTTACTTTGAGTACTCAGGATCCCTCAGGGGCTCAGACGTCTGCCGCTTCAAGTGGGGGAGCTGCTTCCTCTGGAGCTGTTTCGTCTGCAGAAGCATCGTCTGTAGCAGCATCGTCTGGAGCTGCTTCGTCTGGAGCTGCTTCGTCTGGAGCAGCATCGTCTGGAGCTGCTACGTCTGGAGCTGCTTCGTCTGGCGCTGCTTCATCTGTAGCAGCATCGTCTGGAGCTGCTTCGAGCGCAGGAGCTGTCTCTTCTGGCGCTGCTTCGTCTGGAGCTGCTTCGAGCGCAGGACTTGTCTCTTCTGGCGCTGCTTCCTCTGGAGCTGCTTCGAGCGCAGGACCTGTCTCTTCTGGCGCTGCTTCGAGCGCTGCTTCGTCTGGAGCTGCTTCATCTGGCGCTGCTTCGAGCGCAGGACCTATCTCTTCTGGCGCTGCATCGTCTGGCGCTGCTTCGTCTAGCGCTGCTTCGAGCGCAGGACCTATCTCTTCTGGCGCTGCTTCTTCTGGCGCTGCTTCGTCTGGCGCTGCTTCGACCGCAGGACCTGTCTCTTCTAGCGCTGCTTCGTCTGGCCCTGCTTCGTCTGGCGCTGCTTCTTCTGGAGCTGCTTCGAGTGCTGGACCTGTCTCTTCTGCAGCAGCTTCGAGCCTTGTGCCTGCGTCCTCCCAGCCAGCCTCATCAGCAGCTGCATCAAGTGCTGCGCCGGTTTCATCAAGTGCAGCATCCTCAGCTCCTGTGTCAAGTGCTGGATCTGGTTCCTCTGCTGCTGCATCTAACTCGCAGCCTGCTGCATCCGCTCCAGCTTCTTCTGCGCCGGCCTCTTCGGCACCAGCTTCTGCGCCAGCGTCGTCAGCACCAGCGTCGTCAGTACCAGCGTCGTCGGCACCAGCTTCTGCACCAGCGTCGTCGGCACCGGCTTCTGCACCAGCTTCTTCTGCACCAGCTTCTTCTGCACCAGCTTCTTCTGCACCAGCATCGTCGGCACCGGCTTCTTCTGCACCAGCGTCGTCGGCACCGGCTTCTGCACCGGCTTCTTCTGCACCAGCTTCTTCTGCACCAGCATCGTCAGCACCAGCTTCATCCGCACCAGCGTCGTCAGTACCAGCGTCGTCGGCACCGGCTTCTTCTGCACCAGCGTCGTCGGCACCAGCTTCTGCACCAGCGTCGTCGGCACCGGCTTCTGCACCGGCTTCTTCTGCACCAGCTTCTTCTGCACCAGCATCGTCAGCACCAGCGTCGTCGGTACAAGCGTCGTCAGTACCAGCGTCGTCGGCACCAGCTTCTTCTGCACCAGCGTCGTCGGCACCAGCTTCTGCACCGGCTTCTTCTGCACCAGCATCGTCGGTACAAGCGTCGTCAGTACCAGCGTCGTCGGCACCAGCTTCTTCTGCACCAGCATCGTCGGCACCGGCTTCTGCACCAGCGTCGTCAGCACCAGCATCGTCGGTACCAGCTTCTTCTGCACCAGCATCGTCGGTACAAGCGTCGTCGGCACCAGCTTCTTCTGCACCGGCTTCTTCTGCACCAGCTTCATCCGCACCAGCGTCATCTGCGCCGGCTTCTTCTGTGCCAGCATCATCAGCACCAGCCTCTTCTGCGCCAGCTTCATCTGCGCCGGCTTCTTCTGCTCCGGCCTCTTCTGCGCCGGCCTCTTCGGCATCAGCTTCTTCTGCGCCAGCCTCTTCTGCGCCGGCCTCTTCTGCGCCGGCCTCTTCGGCACCAGCTTCTTCTGCGCCAGCCTCTTCTGCGCCGGCTTCTTCTGCGCCAGCTTCTTCGGCGCCAGCGTCGTCAGTGGTAGCTTCAAGTGCAGAGCCTGTCTCCTCTGCGCCAGCCGAGTCATCTCTTACTCCATCTACCACTGTCGAGTCTTCCGCGTCTTCCACTATTTCTGAGTGTGTCGTAACGCAAACCACTGTGACCGAGACTTGCAGTGTTGGCCTGCCCGGCAGATGTGCCGAAATACCCACCACCGATGGACTGGCTCTGATTCCCGTTTTAGCGTCTTGCACAGTTACTCTTGGACCCTTCGCGGCTGGCAACATTCTGACGTGCTTGACAACCAGCATCAACATCTTCACCGCCGGTGCTGACATCGCGGAGTGTGTTGTGACCGCACTTGAGGCTCGCTGCATCACGACGCTCCCAGACGCGTGTGCATCTTTGTCGTCCAGCAACGGCTTGGCGCTGGTCGGAAACATCGCTGGTTGCACCGTCGCTCTTGGGCCTTTCGCCTTGGGTAGCGCTGCTACCTGTCTATCGACCGGCTCGATTACTTCTTCTACCACCGGCGCCAGCGTTGTTGAATGTCTTGAAATTGCCTTTGGCATAAGATCTGGCACCGTCACAATCACCGATCCTGCCCTCTGCGCTACGCCAACGCCGACACCCGTCGTGCCTGTCTGCGCCGAGGTGCCCGCGCCATGCCAGGATCTTGGGAACGTGAACGGACTCGCCCTTGTCGCCGCCATCCCTCTTTGCACGTCGGCCCTCGGCGTCTTTGCCGTCGGCAATGTCGCCACTTGTCTTGGAACCGATCTGATTAGCCAGAACACCCTCGGCACGACGGTCGTGGGATGCCTGGAGGACGCGCTGCAATCAACTTGCATCAGTGAACTGCCGGGCCCGTGCCAGGACTTGCAAGACAATACCGTCGTGGAGTTGGCCATCAACCTGCCGCTGTGTACAGCAGCTCTCGGCCCTTTTGCCGTCGGAAATACCCTTACTTGTCTGACTTCAGGTCTAGGCAACGGGAACTCTGTTATTGAGTGTTTGAACGCCTCCCTGTTTGGAGGAGGGGGTGCGGCTGCTGCGGTTCGTTTCTAGAGCCCCCAAGCTCGCCTCTGAAAGCGGGGGTTTAATCTGGGAATATCGTACCATGTGTTCGTGAACATGAGTCTCTTTTGTTAGTTGGTTTTCAAGTGCCAGAGAGTGTGGCAAGATTGAGAAAGTTTGGTCTATCTACCTAGGTACCTTCCGTGGATCATGTAGTCAAGAAGTATCTTTCCATTGGTATCTGGTACGCGCCGTGAATCGCGAGGCCATTCTTCGTTCGTTTCACGTTGAAAAATGACTTGTTTTGATCGACATTTATTCATTATACGCTGGGCATGGTTTGCTGACGGCCCTCCTAAGGCTTAAGAATGACTTTTTGGACCTTCATCTCGTCAAAAAGCTTGTACCCCTCGGGCGCTTCGTCAAGAGGGATTATTTTATCGAACATGAATCTGTCATCTTATTAGCATGCGAAAGCCCTTGATAGAGATGGTGAGTTGCCGTCTGTACCCCAGGAGGTGCTGCTTCTTTTCCAGTAAACCAAGTGCATCAGAAAAGATGGACCGGACAGGACAGCGACCCATTTGTACACGCAGGTTCTTGCTAGATAGCTCTCAGCAAAGGTGGTAGCTAAGGCTTGGACTGTCTGTGACTTACTCGTAACCATCTGCGCCGGTGAACGGAAGCTGTTAAACGTGCGGTTAGGTTAGGCTTCACAGGACAATACGGCGGAACGAACCTCCTGGCTGTGAACACCGACACTGCTGATGACGCCCCACGGACGAACCAAGTCAAAAGCGGTCTGCATCGCCGGCTTGAGGCCGACTACTTCAATAATGGCATCAGCACCACGACCCTCGGTCACCTCGTGAATCCTCTTGAGCATGGCTGCCGTGCCATCATGGAAGTTTAGCGTTTCTGCGCCGAGGTCTGCCGCAAGCTTGAGGCGACTTTCGACGCCATCAATGGCAAAGACCTTGCGAGGACTGTACTCAAGGGCTGTGATGAGGGCGCACAGGCCGACGGGGCCTAGCCCAATGACAACCACGACGGCATCGGCCCACCTCTCGGGCCCAAGCATTTCCCTGGCATTCGAGGCGCCGAAGAAACCAGTCGGCCAGATGTCGCCCATGAGAAGGGCAGCATCAGTCATGAGGCTCTCCGGGGCCTTGAGAACCGTGCCGTCGGCGAAGGGAACGCGGACATACTCGGCTTGTGCGCCGTCGAGCTTCTCACAGCCGAACAAGAGACTGTTCTCGCAGCGCGATGAGTATCCATTGCGGCAAAAGTAGCACTCCATGCTACATGCTCGTTGTCAACACTGTTTCTGGTCTCGGCGATAAGGAAATGGAGATAAACACGAACCACGAGGTTGTGAAAGGAGACACAATCCTATCACCGATGGAGACAGTCTTGACCGAAGTGCCAGTCTCGACAACCTCACCGCTAAACTCATGGCCCATGGTCACGCCAGCCGTGCAAGGCTCAATTCCACGGTACACATGGAGGTCGCTGCGTGGTGAGTTAACTGATCTGTGCCTAGCGCATGGGGTTGCCGAAAAACCACGTACGAGCCACAGACAGCCGCAGCTTGTACACGGACGATGATATCTCTCGGATCTTGGACTGTTTGCAAAGTCAGCACGTGGGTTTGATCCCTAGAGCCGTCGCTGAGCGTGTCAGAGGTGAGTGTCTTACTCGCTGGGATAGGTTTCTCCTGTACCAAGACACTCTTCAGACCATTGAAAACAACAGCCTTCATAGGTTTGGAGCGATCCATGCTGTACGAGATGAAGAAAATCCAGGGACGTGTTATTGGAGAAGAAAAGGAATTGTTTGGTCAGATCCTGTGCTTGACATCTGGAGTGTGGTTAACAGATGTTTAGTCTCGGGTGACCTAATGGGGGACTCGAACCTTGATCGTGCCGTCAGCAGTCTCCTTAGTCATATCGTGCTTTGTAAGGCGGGTCAATTGCCGACATCGGCTTAAAAGCATGGAGCTGAAGGGCGTGGCGCTGAGATGAAAGTAGAGACTCACAGCGCCGTATTCAAGGCCCGCGGGCAAATTGTACGTGTACCATATTGCCGAGGACAATAAACATGTTCTCCTTACTCAAATCACGACCATGCCTCGAGATGGACGTGGGACTGACGAAGTTGAGCGTCCTCGGGGTGGCTGTGATGTGTGGCGCAGACATGGAACTAAAACCACCAACCACAAACAACTATGGGCTCAAGATATGAGGCCCCGCCAACTCAAGTCACTCAACCGCAAGCTTGTAGATCTTCGTGAAGCTCTCAGACGCAAATTTGACCACTATGCGGTCCTACCATGACGCAAAGACACGTTCGAGAAATATGTGCAAGTAATCCATTCCAACTAGCTGACCGTGGCATCCTCCCCTCTCTAGCGACTACTACCAACATTGAGGCCTACATCCAACGCCAAGCTCACCATCAAAACAAGCCTTTCAGGATTCTCATCAGCGATACAAAGACCACGTGGCAACGGTTTCCGTGTTACTCTTTGCGATCAGTGAAAATCAGACCCACTGGCTTTTGCTCGACCTCCATAGCACCATGTCCTGGCTTCGAGTCGGAACTGTCGGGCTCCTCGAGCTTTGCGTCCAGGGCCTCCTGGTTTTCCTCCTCCTCAATAGACCTCTTGTACAGGCCTCTCTTCTGGTCGCGTCGCCAGAGAATTTGCCCGATCAAGAAAAAGGTCATGTAGCAGCAGGTCAGGACGACGTTCGCCGTGAAGCCACGAGTCCAACGGGGTCCCTCCGTGATGGGGAACGTGACCACGTTGTACCACGTGAAGAAAGCCCAGCCGACAGTCATCTGGGACACATAACATTAGGGCGGAACCTTGACCTGTCGTGAATGACAAACTTACCATGGCACCAGTCGTGAAGCTCTTCGCCTCGTTGTCATCCTTCATGATGAGATGCACCCAGGGGAACAGCATGGGCGTAATGCACGAGGTCATGCCGAGCATGAAGTACGCAGCCAAGTGCAAACCGAGCGGGGTATCCCAGACGAGAAGTGTGGAATGGCAGAAGAGAAGGATGGTTGCCGCAAAGAAAAATGGAACCCAGATTGGATACACCCTGCAAAGCGGGTTAGCGATGGTTCATCTGAGATACTGCAGAAGCCAGTGAGATCTCACATCACAAATGAGGGCACTACAACACCGACAACGATGGCGAAGGCTTGGACGCCGGTAGGGAGAATGTTGATCATCTCGACGGAATACTCGCCCGTCGACTTGACCCAGACAATCATCTGGCCAGCAACCCAGGTAGTCAGCTGAAAACTAGAGTGTGACATGTTAGCCAAAGCGTAGGCCGTCATCGGGGAGATGATGGCTCATACCAGACGTATGTGCACACTGCAACGTAAAAGTGCCAGTGAGTGAAGACGCGCTTGAGCATGCGCTTGCCGATCTTGCGACTCTTCCTCACACCGTCATCCTGCATGCGGGCCTGAGCCAGTTGCTGTTCAGATTCCTTGAGCCACCAGATGCGCGGGCTGGTGGGGATACCGGGGTACAGGAAGAAACCTGCGATGGCAATGGGAAGGGAGATGATTCCGTCAATGATGAAAACCCAGCGCCTGTGCGAAAAGGTCAGCAATGTCATGTTGAACTCGAGACTGGCGTTTTCGTGAACATACCATCCCTGCATGCCACCCTTGCCGTCGAGGCCGGCGTGAGCTGCGGCCTGCATGTAGCCACCAAACATGGCGCCGATATTGCTAGAGACATACCACACGCCGGCGCGCTTGAACACCTCCTCGGACCGGTACCAAGAGGCCAAGATATACAAGGATCCGCTGGCAGCAGGGGTCTCAAAAAGACCCATGAGGAAGCGCATACCGTAGATCATCTCAGCGCTGTTATTACGAGACTGACAGAAAGTGACAATGGTCCATAGCAGCTCGCAAATTGGCAGGATCCAGCGAGACAGCTTGGGTCGAGAGATAATCAACATGACGGGAATTTCTAGTACGAGGTAACCAATGTTGTAGAATGTGGAAAAGAGATTGTACCTGTAAAGTAAGTAAGAGGTTTTGATAAGTCTTGACAACCGGGATCTTACTCAATGCCATTCAGATTGAGATCCTCCTTCATGCCGGAGTTGTAAGCATTGTTGATGTTTGATTGATCAAGCCATTTGATGAAATCTTGTCATTGTTAGACTTTCCCTTCACAGCTGAACTGGAAGACCATGGGAGAGGAATCACATACACATGGAACAGCTATCGATGAGAGTTAGCGCTGCTAATTACGACACGCTGATGTGAGAGAACACCAAGGCTTACATGAGGGGCAGGATAATGCGGTCTAGTTTCTTGAGAAGTCTCTTCTCCTCCTTGCTGTAGTGGCTGGGGTACCAATCGAAGATGTAAAGCCATGCAATCCACAAGTTTCTCTGCGGAGGCTTTGCAGACGAGCTCACCACAACTCCATTTTTGACCACACTCTCGGGCGGATCAACTGGCGTTGCCGCGTCGGATGGACGCTGGGCCTGCTCGTGCACGGGCTGGATGTTGAGTTCGTCGTTCGTTCTCTGCTGGGGGCTCGACATGATGGGCAATTCCTCGGCAAAGCGGCAACTGATGTATAGTCTTGTGGTCGTAGAATCCGAGTCCGACTTGTTCGTTCGGATCCTCAATGGCCATCCGACGAGGTTTTAATTATATTCGATCGTATCCACTGGTTGTCCGGGGCCCCGGAGTAAGTGACAGCAGGTCGATCTACCCCAGATACTCAAATTGCCACGAGGAGCCGCTGACTTGGTAGGCCTGTCGGAGCATGGAGCAATTGGCGATACTCGCGGGCCTCGGAAAAGGTCCTGTCCGTTGCTGTTGTTGATCGTGGCTGGATTTGGATTTGCGACCCCGCTCAGGAGCATCTCGAAAGGGAGCACATTTGGTGTGTCAGCCTAAAAGTTAGTTTTTTCTGCCAACGTTGACCCGGACCAGTTGTCGGCGCAAAGGAGAAGCCCCAGCGCTTTCGGTCTCCGGATGATGTTCGCTCCGTCGCTAAAGCCAAAGACTTCGAGCTAATTCGCCTGACAATGTCCCGAAGTGAGGTGTGATTGCGCAACGATTCCAGAGTCGTTGCGTGTATGACCCACTCAAAGTCTTTCGACCACTCGAGTAGACATTTGCATCAGAAGTCGATTACCTGTTTAAAACAGTAGCAGTCCGGATGTTTTCCCACTAATTTAAGTTTAGCCTACCTAGGTACTTCCACCTTTCAAAATGCTGGAAGAAGCGCCCCTCTTAATTGATGGGGATGAATGTTTTCACGTTAAGGGTGATCTTCTGGACTGGTTGAACCCATCATGACAGAGGGTGGCAAGATGCATTATCACGGCATGACATGTTTATACTTGTTACAATGCCTAGGATACTTCGTATTACACAAGAACGCCCAAATCTTCTTTACGGACTTCACATAGTTGAGACTTGATGAAACCAGATAATTTTCAGTTAGCATCAAGAAAGATATGCACCTGGGCCAGCCTACACCCATACAGATCGGTCTTAGTACAAATTTGGTTCGTGGTCTCACCAAAGTCCTTCGTACTCTGTCTGAAATACCCCATCATCATAACTGATCACACGGTCCATGTTCATGAACTGCTGGTCCATGAAGATCTGGGATATTGCCCCCAGTTCTCCGCTACCGGTGGCGCTGATGGGAGACTGTGCTTGGAGAAGACCAGTGGGACCAGTTGTAAAGCCCATGACCGGAGCTGTTTGTGTCGGCGGTAGGACCGGGACGGTGTCACCTAAGCCGAAGTCAGGGCGTGGCTGTGCTGGATGAGACTCTCTACGAACTGCTGAAGCTGTCGCAAAAGCTCCAACTCCTGCCTGATACCGTGCATCTGACGCTGGCCGGCCCGGTGAAGGCGTTTGATCGATTTCGGCAGTATACTGCAGTACGCTCAGAGCATAAGAAGCGTCGCCCAGACATCGGTTATGAAATTGAGTTAATTTACGCGAGTACTTTGCCGCAAGATTCAGGCGCTCACAGTCCTGCCTGTGAGGCCCGGTCCAGCGTCTTGCCATCTCATCCAGGCTCCGTACTAGGGACCAAAATTCAGGCGCAAGAGTGTGCAGGGCGGAACTCTGTGCTGCGGCATGTCTCCAGTACAGCAGGAGCACTTTTGCTCCAATGTAAATGCCGAAAGCAAATTGGCTGGACACTGGCGCTGTTGGAGGCGCGTTCTTCAAGTAATTCTGCGTGATCGTTGCGATTTCGACAGCTGCTGCCTGGCAAGTCTCCAAACTTAAGAGGCTTGGGAGGCGGTCCTTGAAGCTCCATTCCGGAGATGGGAAGGCCATGACCTGGTGGAGTAGGATAATCGAGGTGTTGTGAGTGATATGAGCAAGGGTCAAATTCGGGTCCATCCGTGACGTTTGCCTTGCCATATTAGCCTTCCACTTCTGTGGTAGGAACATCTTCCAATGAACTAGACGAAGATCAAGCTCTTTGAAGCGTGTAAGCCAGTTTGACAGATCACGGTTGTCTTGTATGTTCACCTTCTGCTGGAGGAAGTACGCATTCACTCGACTGAGTGATTCGGTTGCTTCCACGCTATACGCAAAGGCTCCAACTGCGGACATATCGGTTCCTCGAAGCTGGGCTCCCGGCGACGCCCCCGGGCCGGAAGGACTGTGTTTATCGCTTTCCGAGGAGGCCTGGTAGTGCGAAGGAAAAAAGGCGATGGGGTTGCCGATGCGGCCAGCGGCCTTGTCCCAGATGCC